TATCAATAGATTAGATAGTACCTATTCGTATGGTTAATTATTTTGATATTACGTTTTAATAGCAAGATAAGTCTGGTTCTTATTTTGGTACAATTGTACCTTATTATTAATGTTAGTTTGATCGTAATAGCAGCTGTTTAGTGAAGATCTAACATTTACCGTCGTTTGTCGTTAATTAGGTATGATGTAAGAAATATAACAGGCTTCCAGGTCTTTTTAATTCTATAAGTAATTATTAATAATAATATTGAAGATAATAGATAAACAATATAATATTGTGAAAACAATCGTAACCAACATGATGTTACGAACGAATTTCTAATTAAATTGTCGCATACGCCTGATTAAATTATTATTATTATTTTGTCGCTTACCTCATGCAACAAAGTCGCTTACGTATTTTTTTCGAAATTAATGTGACTTACGATCAATTTTTAAGTTATTGCCTAAACGACATGTCGCTTTCGTCCAATCTTTAAATGGCAAAATGACATGCTTAAGWTTATATTGTCGCTTAGCCATTTTACAGATCGATGCGTCTGAATTTTAGAAAAATTTTGATACCAATATCTCATTTTCGCCAAAATTGTCGCTTACGCCCTTTTACCTAATAAGGCTCGAATTATCATTTAATAAAATAGTTGTTTTTATCAAGGACAATTTATTAATACTCCGTTTCTTATTGTTGAACAACCAACATTATTATAGATTTTGAGCCAGTTCTGAGAGATACACTTGTATCTTATTTTAATACCGCACAATCTTGAAGATGTTGGTAGTGTAGAAAAGCATGAAACGTTTTAGTTATTTGGAAACRGTTAACAGTAATGTCATGTTAATATTATTTCGTTCCCTAGTTATTTTAAAACTAATATTTTTTATGGTTTTTTAAATAGCAAATTCATAATTTTATAAATTTTTTAAGWTCTGACTTAACCTGTGGACTTTCTTAAAATTATATATAGCCAATAGCCTTCCTCGATAAATGGACGATTCCAGTGGCGGCGCCATAGACGGGCCCGAGCAGGCCATGGCCCGTCTTAAAACTTATGGCCCGCTCGTTGGTCCCCCTTGAAATTTCGATTTTCATGAAAGTTTGAATTTAAATTTTCAAATACGTAAATAGTTTTAAAATTTTTAAATATATGTATAATGCCAAGGTCTGGTTTTTCTACAAACATATACCAACGTACACGACAGTGTACTCACACAGTCACAAGTACACAACTGTAGATTGTTTACGTATTACACTATTACGTCTTATATTTTGTGTCGGTGGAGGAAATGGTTATTTATATAATATTATAATGGTTATTTGGTTATCAATTATCTTAGTACGAATTTAATTTTAGAACTAGGGATTGGAGTCGTCTAAAAAATACAGTATTTTGAATAATATAATAAGTGAATTAGATAAACGGTTTAATAATAATTCTGATATTTTGTGTGGAAGAAGTGCCTTTAATTCAAAGGGTAACCATTTTTTTTGATTATGATTTAACTGTACCTTTAGCAAATCATTATTCGTGTGATTTAGATTTTTTAAAAGCTGAATTAAAAATCATCAAAAAATCTATTTTCAATTTGAAAAGTTCAAATTAAAAATTACAGATGTTTTTATTTTTCATGCATTTTTATGTGAATATTGAATACTTTTTACTGAAATGTTTAAACTTTGTTCCATTGCCATAACTATACATATATCCTCATCTGCTTGTGAACGTACATTTTAATGTTTGAAACGAATGAAAAGTTATTTACTGAACTCCTTGCTAGACAATAATTTATCGAATTTGAGTGTTATATCAGTAGAAAAAGGTGAGTTTAAAATATTAGATATAGATGAAATTATTGATACTTTGTCAAATTCCCATAACAATCATAGAATCATCATTTTAAAAATAACTGCTCAATTATGATGATGATCATGATTATTATGATGATCTATTAAAATAATTATTTTGAACTGTATAATTTTAGATTCTGAACGAAGTGATGAATGTATTGATTTTAC